AGCAACTGTCGAGCTCTCAACAGATCGTGGCCTTTCCTGTATCCTCCTCCAGTTTATCTGCACCTTCATTCACTCAGTAGCTGTGAAAATTTAGCAGAAACTCTTAAAAACTTTCCAATTGGCGAGATATTTTAGAGAGAAACCCCTTTTTGCTATTGATAACTCCAATCTCTTCTGTCGAAAAGAAGAAAAACGTTTTTTAAATATTTGTTAGGGTCTTTGCCGTTCCTGGATCTGTCACTAGTAAATGTGCGAGCACAGAAATGATTCGATTTTATTCTCTCTCTTTGCATCCTCTGTTATTGCATGTTGAATTATGGAGAAAAATATAGATGTATTGATTGTCCAATATCCATGGATACCGAATAAATCATCCATTATCAACAAGTAACGTTCATCAACATTGGATGTTGATTCACTGAACCCTAGACCGACTAAATGATGACAAAGATGTCCTTATATTTTTGCATAAAAATGAATTCTGTACAATGACGACTATAGGAGAAATTATCAATATTTGTAACATATTTAATATTTCATACTATAGATATATTCAAACAGTTGACATAAAATATTGAAAGACGCTAAAGAATATGAAAAAGTTTATGCTTTAGTTGATAATAACGAATAAAAACGGTGATTTATGCCATAAACCCCCTCCCGTAATAGAAGCCTTCTCCAGAGGGGACAACGTAAAAGGTGTATTAGAAGCCCCCCTGATTTCAAAAAACTTTTGAAAATTTTTGTTGATATTTTCGTCGAAAAACTTTGAAAATTCGCAATCTTAAGGTGAGAATATGTTTAATTTCCTTACTTATCAGCATAAAAATCTTGAAATCTCTTAGAGAGTCGTTTGAACAACTCTTAAAAACCCTAAAAACTCCTCAAGTTCTTTGAAATCGTTTACCTTCGAAAAACTTTCGGATGATGAACGAATTAGAAGCCTCTGGAGGCTTCTAAACTGGATGGGAGTTTAGTAATGGTCATTTCTATCACGGACAGAGCCAATTGTGACACATACATGCTCATGTGTGCGATCAGAATTGTCAACTGTAACATATAAATGGTTGATTATGCCGTGGAAATGATGAATTGAGCCACAGAGTTGACTATTTGTGCCAAAAAAGTGCTCATTAGTGCCAGAAAAATAGTCATTTATACCACAGAAATGGCCGTTTGTGCCAAGTCCTTGTTACATACAGACAGACCAAGGTGAATTACGGTTTCTAGACTCTAGCTTTTCAGTCTAGGGAAAACTGTTCACATCCATAACTACTATGGTCGCCTATACCACCAAAGTGGTACTTTGTACCATGAAAATGGTCACTTGTAGCAAGTGTTACAGACAGACACACACAGGTGAATATTCGTTTCTAGACCCTATCCGTTCAGTCTAGGGAATAAATCGAAATAGAGGGTGGATGTGAGCGTGGCAAGAGTGAAGAAAAAGGTTCACAGCTACATCTGTACCCAAGTCCAAGTCCAAGCCCATACCCCACCTCAAGCATCTGTTTTATCTGAGATGGACTTGAAAAACTATAAGCAGCGAATGAAGCTCAATAACAATTTATCAAATTATACAAAAAATATTTTTTCTGAGAGATTTTCATTTTTCACTGAAGACAGTGTCCTGAGTCCATTCCAAATAAAGTAAAAGCTTTTTGAAACTTTTTTTTATCGAAATACTTACAATTAAAACCTAGACAAACAAAGAAAATTTTATTATTTTGCAATGTAGTTCAGACCCTCAAAATACTCAACTACAAATACATTGAATTGCTCCTAAAAACTAACCTACATTTGCAATCTTTATACATCGAAGCAGGTTTTGACTATTGTCTCTGACTGTTGTCGACAATGTTACGTCTAATTAGAATATCAAAATCGAAAAATACTTTCTCAAAATTGTGGTAGAAATTCCACGAATTTACTCATAATTAAATAAAGTAATAAGTTATTACTGTAATAAGGTAATAAAAAACAAAAAGCACACTATGACAGATATAGAAAAGACACGTGAGGAATTAGTACATAAATGTCTTTTTTGTCGATGAAGTATTGTTTGATTGATCTTTTCAGACACGCTTATTACATACAAAGAAGAATGCGAAAAGTATGATTTTAATCATTCGTGATTTTCACAGGCTACAAACTATATTAATATTTGCAGATCAACATTCCAAGGACGATTATCAGAGCTGTCTTCTTAGTACAGTGAAAAGCATATATTTCATTTAGTAGTTTCCATAGATCTAGTTTTTCAAAAGCGTTACAATTGCAGCATTGATTCTTTTATGCCAATTCACCAATAGAAATTAGTTATACGACAAATGCATAAATATTCAGATCAATCTATGCACGAAAATGAAATCTAACACTATCAAAATGTCTAAGAATGAAAGCGAAAATCCAGTCAATAATCAAAAATATTTTTACTATCTTTTTGTTTTCCTATTTTTCTATGCCTATATATAGTATTTTCACAGAAGAGGCTGACAGCCGAAAGAAATAGGATTAGAAAGCAGCTGTCTATTCCTTTTATTTTTATTCCTTTTTTTTGCAATTTTATCAACATCTGTTAATCCTACGGAGAAAAATTAATTAATATATAAAAGACAATGCAACAGCAAGCGACCTTTTCTTTACTTATCGATAAGAGAAGAATGAAAAGAGAGAAAAAAAACACGTGTCATGCGTTATTATGATTAGGCAGTTTATCTTTTATCGTGCTTTCACTGCACCAACACATCTTTCTTGTTTTTCTGTCTTACTATCCATCTACAGATGAAAGCAAGAAAAATCGTCTTTCTTTGGTCTCACGTACGCTCATTGTCGACTGCATTTGAACGAGCTTTCATACAGCGCGACGACTATGTTACTTTCCATGAACCCTTTGGCGAGCCTTGCTATTTTGGTCCCGAACGTATTTATAACTACCATGATAATGAATTGAGTGCACATGCAGAGTATAACCATGTAACTTACTCACAGATCATCGAGCAGATACTCAATGCTGCTACAGGCGAGGAAAAGAAGAAGGTTTTTATCAAGGATATGGCGCGTCACGTTGTACGAACTGACTACAAATCACATCCAGAAAACCCAACTGTGCTTCCAATTGACTTTCTCAAGCAGTGCAATCACACATTTATCCTTCGTACACCAGAGAAGGCTGTCTCCTCTTCGTACCGTACGTATGTTATCAACAACCATAAATTCATTCACGATGACGTAGGCTACCCGGAACTGCAGGCCTTATATGAATTTCTCACTGAACTTACTGGTGCTCGCCCACCTTTGGTTGATGCAGACGAACTTCTTGCAGACCCTAAAGCTATCATGCAAATGTACTGCGAGTCAGCTATTCATGATCAATTTGAACCAAAAATGCTTGAGTGGAAAGCAGAAAGAATTAAGGCGTTCGACAAATTGGTAGGCTGGCACGAAAATGCACAATATAGTACAGGCTTCGGTCAGATTCAGAAAACCACCGACAATATTAATGATATTGTTCTTCCTGACGACGTGCAGCAACTCATTGAAAAAAGCATGCCCATTTACAACGCTCTGCGTGAATTCAGGCTGCTTGTTTGACAACGGAGAGTAGACCCTAATACATACCGCTCTTTTTTTAGAACTGATTTTCATAGAGATTTTGATTTGATTGAATCTACGGCATTATAGTATTATAACAAGAGACAAAATGTGTGAAGAGCTATTGATAAACTTTCCAGTATATTTACCCATAACTTATTTCTTAAACAGCAAAGTTCCGCCACATTTCTCATGGTAATTCATCTATTTCTTGATATTCAAGGTTATGCTCGAAAATGAGAAGACACGAAGTAGGCACCAAATGGAAAAAAATAGAGGCGTCTAGAGTTTTTAGACAAAATGCTTCTTCGTTTTTCTATCGATTAAGAAGGTTTGCAGAAAATATTAAACACTCGATTAGTAGAATCAGAGTTTTGTGCTTCTTACGAATCAATCTTCATAGTTTTTCTGATGAATCATACATCAGGTGTCATGAGCAAAGTTTGCTCAGCAAATTTTGGAGAAGTCTGACAATCAAGTTTGCACTGTTTACGGTGCTTAAGAAAATGTTCAAGATAGATGTAACATTTATTCTATATACATGGATATTAGGAAAAAACATTGCTGTACAAAAGGATAACTTGATCATGCCTTTTCTCTGAGGTGTCTATCAATAATACGAATTTTGGTGAGAGATACGATGGTGTGTTCGAAATGTTCTTGATTTCCAGACTTACAGTGCGAACTCGATCGTTTCTGGTTGATCGCTGCAAGACTCTTAGTTATTTTTTGATTTTATAGAAAACAATCTCGATTCTTATGCTGTGCAAAAGTCATTAGTAGACGATATAGAGTAAAGGACATTATTATGAAGAAGGAGGCCAATTGCCCAAGTATTTTTTCAAGAAGAAATTGAAGCATAGTATAGTCAAGAAAAACAGAGTGATGTTTAATGAAATGATTTTTTTGTGAAAGTAACGAGAAAAATCACTAAAAAAAGCATTTACTTTCAGATTTTCCAAAGATTTGCTCACAGTTCATGATCCATCAGTGGCATAAAAATTCTAAACAAGTTTTCTAATATTTTTTTGCGAATTTTCTTAATCGGTCAACAAATAAAGGAACATTTTCTCTAAAAAGTTTTGAATACTTTCAATTGTCGTTCTTTTTGACATTCATATTCTACTTGTATACTAATACGTAATGTGCAAGGCTCTTTGTTTACACATTGAAAAATTCGCTTTTATGTTTTCGATATTTTATTTCAAATAAAATCAGTTACATTCATATAAGGTCTACTATATTTCGTGTGTCTTTTAACGGATGTTTCATTCAATGAATAGGTTGTCGACGAATCAAGCGAATGAAATCACTTCGAAACTTGCTCGAACAAATAATGAAGACTAAAATAACGAAAGTATCATGATAAAAAAAACATAGGTGGAACCTCAAAAATTTCATCATACCATAGAATGGAGCAACACAGTAAATATAATTCAATAATGGACTAATAATGTATCCAACAAGTCCTTCGATAGCTAATCGCATTTCACTCTTTTGTTGTGCAATGGGCGTCGTGATAAAACCATAGAGTACATTAGCAGGATAAAGAATTGTAGTTACTACATAGACCAATACCTCACCCGCTAACATTCTCATTAAATCACGATCCGCTTTATGAAAACGAACTTGAGCAAGATTCTGTCTAGGTGTAACTCGTGATCGAATTTGTCTTAAATTATTCCAGGCCAGGACACCAAAGAAAATCATCAAAAATGGTGGAAGAAAGCCAATAAAAATAAATAAGTAGACAGCAAATGCGAAAGCATAATAGGAAGGCGCACCACAACGGCCAGAATAATTGTTAATGAAAATAGCCATATGCACTGGTATGATTGGCCAAATCAACAAAAGACAAAAAATAACGTTACGAGCTATTTTTGGTCGGCAAAATGATCGAATCTTAGCATATGGAGAAGTAAGAGCCCATCGGTCAATACATGCAGCTATCACTAAAAAAGAAAACAAACAAATAAATAGACCTATATGATGATAGAACTTACTGAAACTTCGTGAAAGCATTAATAGTATTTGTCCTCCATACCAGCGTAATTTACAGACGACAAGTGATCTATGCTGTGGATCAACATGATCAACACCATAGACCGTTGAAATAAGTGTGCTATTAATCAAAATCCAATTTGTAATTGAAGCAGCTAACAAATAGCATGTACATGAATTTAGTTGTTTTCTTAATGTTCGGATAAATATAAGAATTGTTAAAATATTGCCCACATTACCGAGCAAAATTAATGCCGATAAACCATAACGACCTAGATTTTTTTGAATGTTAACGATAGTTGAAACTGACATTCTAAGATGAGTAGCTGAAAGATAAATCAAGGAACATTTTAATTTACTGTTTCTTGAATAAATCAGAGGCGAAAATAACATAATCGAAATATCATAAAGAAACACATATTAACAAGAATTACTGATATAAATCTCATACGTATTACTTACACAAAAATGTACTGATTAAACTAAGTGAAAGATCATTTTTAATACGTTCTCCATCATCTCATTCCAACTGCCTAAAATGATGTGATTAATGTCCTAAACGATGAAAAATGATCGCCGGTGTTCACTGTTTTCCGTCAGCTCTGGCTAAGGACCGCTTCTTATCGAAGAGTAAACGGTGTTTTTTAGAGTCCTTCGAGTAAAAAATCGATGCAAAATATTAAGACACTATTTACAGTGTTGTTTGTCGTATACAGCTTACTTTCTTAGATGTATGAGAAAGAAGTGTACCCAGAAGCAATAATCATGCCTGTTGTTCATGATAGTATTCGTCAACATTTTTTTAGATAAATTAATTCGCACATAAAAAAAAGAACTATAAATTCAAGGATGCATTTTTTTATCAAGTAATGAATTACAGTCGTTTCTCAACATTTTTAAACGTTTACGAACAGTTGTTTCGACATGCGATGAGCAGAATCATTGGAATTTGGATAAACTTCCTACTAGACATCTAGAACACAAAAGAATAGGTTCTATTATCTATGGAACTTTAGAAAGAAAAACGATGACCGAGAGATATTCGAAGGCGTGTACTTGTACTCAATAACTCAATATTAATGTCATGTCAGTCGTCATGTGGTAAGACACAGAAACATTTTTCTAGAGCGTACGTCATATTGTCCAATAGATCTCAACAAAGCCTATTCGTTGATGCCTCAACTAGCTCAAAAAAAGTTGATTAGAGACTGATATTAACAAAAAAAAGCAAAATTTAAGAAAAACAAAGAATAAAGTGCAGTTACACCTCGGGCAAATCCTTCCATGAAATCATTAAGATTTATCTACTAAACATGATCAAAAAATATTTAATGATGCTTATGAGATAGCTTTTTGATTGCAACCATTTTTTACCGTTTTTGAGTCGTTCTATTCGGCCTGAGCATGTAAAATATTTGTAACGTGTGGATAAAGAAACTACTCGTATAAAAATGTTTTCAATCTTTTACAAAGAAAATGATAATGAGGTTATTATAGAACTACTTCTTACATGCATTTGTCCTGCATTTTTCATTTTCTAACACGATTCATTAGTCTATGTCTGGCTCCTTACTTATTAATCAAAAGAATTTTCTAATGATGTGTCTTCTAATTTCTGCTTTGATGGCTCTACGAAAGAGCGCTCTTTCCTCCTTGAACGTGCCTATATATCCATAAAGGTAGGTGTTCTTATTAATTTTTTTAGAATAAACTTTTCTTTAGTATGTATTCTCTAATCCTAATGTGAAGCGTGTCAAAAAATATATATTCTAAAAAATAATTATTTTCTTTTTATTTGATCATGTGGCAAAAATGAAGTAAAGCAAGATATATTGTTTAGATCGAAAGAAAATATTTCATACAAACTTTGATAGTTAGAACTCATGCTTGCCGTAACTTTTTATATTTGCTAAAAAAAATCCGATTAAGTTTCTTAATGACATTAATTCAATCTTTCCAGGTTTAAAAACCACGATCATATACGACCGTATACAAAAAAAAACAGGACGAATAAGCATGGTCGTACACGATGATTGCATATGATGCAATAAGATTACCGTAAACGACGCTCGTATACGATTGTATTTGGGTCGTGTATTCTTCTCGTACACAGCAAGAATAGCTTCACATTGTTGTATATATGTCACTTCTTGTAACAAATTATTTATTTGTTTTATCTTTTCTACTTTGCATGATCTTTATGCAATATACTTTCTAATTTTTAACAATTAGCTAGCTAGACTCTTGCTATATTGCTTGTGCTGGAAAGACGTAGATAATCTTTTTTTTAATTTTTGTTCTGGAACCTTTGCTGAAAAAATGCCATCTAGTATGTTTCATTGATAACAAGAAGTAAACTCATTGTTAATATCAATCAAAAATAATGTAGCTATGTTTGGCTAAAAATGTAACTTTTCAATTTATCGCATTCAAGATATTATTTTTATTAGATATATTGATGTAGATATGCATGTTGACTTGTTTTAACACTCGATTTTGTACAACAACTTATGTGTTGATTATCTTATATACATCATATAACTGGTGAGAGAAATATTTTATACAAAAGTACACTAACAACAAAGCTATATTGAGTGTGAGGGTGTGGGTGTGAATCTTCTTCAAATATACCCGCACCTCATACTTCACATTGACACCCATACCCTCACCCATCAACCCCAACTTCACATTCACATCCACACCCTCATCTACCAACCCACATGTACACCTTGAAAAGGAGTGATTCGCAATAGAGTTTGAAGCTTTTCAGAAGTTTGTTTCAAAAGCAATTGCACAATTTGATCAACTACACTCATTTTTTAGTTTCGAGACAGTATGATCGTTAATGGGTGGCTCGATCTAACTGATTGATAACTAACGTATACCTTTTACCTACCAAGCAATCACTATATATATATGCGAACAAGTTAGGAAAAACCAAAGGTAGTTGGGAAAACAAGATAACGAGAAGGAAAAGTACTTGAACGTACAGGAAATATTGGAAAGCGAAGAAGTGGAAAGACAAGCAGAATATGTATATGTATGCGTGTACATCATCTGTACGACGTGATACAAGAAAACAAAAGAAAAGAAAAGAAAGAAAATGTACATATGAATCATACTTTAACAGTAGTAAACTATAATATTCTTTTCCTCACACCCGAGCAATAAAATTTTTCTCTCCTCTATTTCTGGCACCATCCCATTGTTGCTATTATGAAGACAGCATTTGAAAAACCCACTACGATCACGTCAGTAAAGGCAGCACCATATTCGCCGTTTTTTGTTCAGATTCGCTATACTCCCTGAGTTGCGTCTCACTCCAGTTCAGGTAGGTGCAGAATTTCATGCTAAATCGAATGGTGATATTTTCAAGAAAGACTGTCGGTCAAAAAAACATCACTTGTATCCCATATACTGGTGTTTCAAGCTAGGAGGTATGCGTGTACGTGTCATTTAAACAGAAACTCAAACCCACACACACACCCCCGAGCTGGAAAAACCAGTATTTGGGGTACAGGTGGTGTTTTTTGACCAACAACCACCCTTGAAAATAGCACCATTCGATTCAGCATGAAAACGTACACCTAATTCAACTGGATCGAGAGCCAACTCAGATGGTATAGTGAATTCGGACAAAAAATGGCGAATATGGTACTGAGTTTATCTACGTAATACAATCCTTTCTGCGTTCGTTCATCTTATTTTCTTTTGATATTCATTCATACACACAAGAAGAACGATATTAACGTCTATTGACAACTTTTTTCTAGAACGTTGAAAAGAGAAAGGATTAACTTCAAAACTTTGCTATAGATAACTTGTTTTAGCCTGTGTATAGCCTGAATAAATTCGCTCAAGCGAACCTTCTATCATCGAGCAGTGAAACATAAAAAAGTACACAGTTACGAAGAAAGCTTGAAAAATTGTTTCCCCCCTGTAACATTATTATTTTGAGCTCGAACTTTCAGGTGATCAAGAACGCTAGTTGTGATAGCCACAGTAAAAATTCTGAGTCCAATATACCTTTGTCTCGTCGAGAAAAGCAAAGTTCAAGGACAATTTGAAAACCTTGTTCCTAACTTGAACAATTCATAATTTCTGTCAGAAGCAACTTGCACTGGAACCAACTTAGGATATTTCACCTATAGCTATGTCCTATCTAACTATCATATTCCGAGTTAAAAAACTTTTTAGCATCTCGAGAGGCTCTCTCGTGAGTAATATCTGAACCAAAGAAGATGCCTCGAATAGAAAATAGTAAAGAAAGAAACATACAAGAATGTTCTGTTTTTATACCAGCTGATTGTTATTTAGACGAGCTCGCCTAATACAATAGAAAGTTTCATTGCTGAACCCAGAGCATAGACAATAGCCTGTTGCAACACTTAAAGCAAAGCTTGATAATTTATTGTTCAAAAAGCTTAAAATATATGGTTAAAGTTAGCAGTCAGCAACATGTATAAAAAGAAACTAAGCAATAAACTGAAGTATTTATGTTCAAAAGTTCGATCATATACAATTCATGTTCGTCTGGTACATTTTTCAGTGGCTGGATCATAGCACGTCAAACCACAAAGTTGGCTACCTTTTGGACAGATTACAAAAACGTTCATGTACCTGTTCCAAAGACATTGTTGTGTAGCTGGATTGTAACAATGTCCAAAGCAAAATTCACTTACAATCGGACAAACTGTACCCATATGGATTTGTCGACACAGAACAGCAGCCAAGCCAAGAAAAAACAAATAAGTGGACGATGTATGATTTCGAGAACATGACGTCCCGAAGGGAATAGATAAGAATTGAAGTTAATAAATAAATGAACAAAAATATCTTTCTGATATACACTTTTTTTTAATATTTATAGAATGAATTTCAATAAATTTTGAATAATTTTTTCCTTTCCACTTAAGAGTTAATACATTATCTTTTTTCTCTTCAGAGTGTTTTGATGCATTAAGTAAACGTCTTTTCCATCTCATTCAATCTGTAGGGTGTGGATGTAGGTATGGGTGGGTGTGGGTGTAGGTGGGTGGGAGTGTGGATGTGGATGCTCTTGCCCTTGACCAATAACACTCTCACCCACACCCACCCTAAATTTTGAATAATTTTTTCCTTTCTACTTAAGAGTAACACATTATTTTTTTCTCTTCAGAGTGTTTTGATGCATTAAGTAAACGCCTTTTCCATTTCATTCAATCTGTAGGATGTGGGTGTTGGTGTGGGGTGTGGGTGTGGGGTAGGTGTGAGTGGGGTGTGGGTGCGCTTGTCATTGACCAATAACACTCTCACCCACACCCACACCTACATCCACACCCACACCCTCACACTCACCCATACCCACACCCACCCACACCCTCACACCCACCCACGCTCCACATCTACACCCACACCCTAGTTGTTTGAAATGATATTAGTGATTGAAAACGAATAAGTCGAATATGTGCTACGATCTTATTCTTTCAATGAAATTTTTGTTGTTCATTAAAGAATTGAAAAAGAAAGCCAAAAGAAAAAAAAGACAAAATGACTTAATCATTTTCCAATAACAACCGGATGAGTAATAATAAGATGTACTTGTAATAGATACGAAGACCGTCATCCAAGGGGAAAAAATCTCATTCCGACCTATTCAAATCAATTTTTTCCCTTATTTTAATCACAGTGTCTTGAAAGAGTTTGTTTTCGTTGTCGAATATGATTTGTTCGTTGTTCATAATATTGTCTTGAATCTAAGAAAAAGTATCTCACTGAACTTTTATGTCGTTTGACGTACTCATACGCACACTCTTCTTAATCTAATGATCCTAGATTTCGTTACAAAAACATGTTTTGATATTGCAGAAACAGTGTATATCTAACACTACATGTGACTATTTTCATAGTTGATCAGTAACGTACTTCATTTCATTTTTAGATGTTAATACAAATCAATATCGAAAACAGTGCTACTTTTGATAGAAATATTTTACGAAAAATAACTATGCCACTTTTATATTTCCACACAATAAACTGAAATTCGTTTATTATTATTATTATTATTATTATGCTTTTATTTCATCGAGAAATCTTTCGTTCATCCTCACACTTCAGTGTCATAGACAAGCAAACAATCAAATAGGTTTACAAAAACAGAAAAGAACATGGATTGAATTAAAAGTTTCTATTATTACAGCAAAGAAAAATAGTGACTCATGTCAATTAACAGCATTAACAAGGGCGATTTTACTGTTACATTAGTGTACTGTAATTAGAAGCAAAAAGAACAATAAAATAAAGAGATTTTCGGTTTGTTGATTAAAATATTAATTTTTTTACTCGTTCTGGGTGTGTGCGTGTTGTAGCCACTGCCCCGACCGCTCACATCTTTCTAGACTTAGTTGTTAATAAAAGATGAGTGTCCGAAAGATCAATAAAATCATGTGTTTTAGCATCATTCCTTATGCCAATATTAATTAAATCTATAATTGTAGTATGTGCTGCTTTTATTCATTGTTATCTTATTTCACATTTTGAGAGCTTCCTGGCGTTAGCATGGTAATACACAAATAAGAACTATCCTTCAAAATGAGTTATTTTTCTCGTTCTATTCTTACAACAAGCAATAAATAAGAGAAAAAGCATAGTAACTTCTATTGAAGAGTAAATCACACAGACTTATACAAGTTTACATAGAAAAATGACTGTAACACATGAGTTTTTCATCTCGAAAAAATAATTTCATGCACATTACATGTAATTATATGCTCACATTGAGAATGAAAAATTTCATCGAGTAATGAAAATAATTGTTGTTGATTCCAGGTACAAGACTACGGAAAATGAATACTTCAGTTATATTTCTTTTTTAACGATACGATTCGCCCTATTTCTTTTTGTTGTACAAGCATTTACTATCATGATTCATTTTCCATTTTTTTCGAAAGTCAATCTTTCTTTCAAGTAGATATTTGACTGTATGCAACAGCGAGTAAAACTGAGACGGAGCGGTAGGCGAGTCCAATCAAAACATTCTCCTTTCTTTTTTGCTTCTAGCCTGCTTGAGTGTTTCGGAATCAAAGTGATTATATAGATAATAATGATCATCGCATAAAAGATTATTGAACAGTTGACTAAGATGACTAGCATTAGTGACAATCGTCCTCAAATATTACTTATTTCTATAATGACGAACTAGAATATCGTCATAGTCAAACTCACGTACTCGTACATGGCAAAGTTTGTTTATGTTGATTTTTCGATGAAAAGGTTCTATGTAGAGTTAGAAAACAAATCAATTAGTGAAACATTTTTGTCATTGTCAGTTATAGAACAGTCCAACTCTTCTTTTTGACAAGGTTCGTGTGTCGATAGGTGTATGGCTCTTACATGATATCATTTAATTCGCTGTCTCCTATTGTACAGTTGTTATTGTCTCTCGCCGCTGTTGGACAGTCACGGTCTTGTTTCAGCAGATGAGTAAAGTTGGTGTCGAGTGAAAAAAGAGGAACATGTTGATTAGTAATGGATCAGAGTGTAGCCGAAATGAAGCATGATAAAAGAACTACTGTTAGAGGTGACACTCAACTTTTCCATTACAGTTACATACTGAAACAAAACAATGTGTGACAAAAATGCGTCGAACATGCGTTATTTCAATATAAGTGAGCCGGATAAAGCAACAGTGGCTTTTGAAAACGATGCCGACTCGCAAGTGCTTAATTTAGCCGATACTGAACTCGCCCAAGCACCTGTTTCGGTTCAAATTTTTCTGGTCATATCCAACTAAAACCATGACTTTGATCATTGAAACACCACTCACACAACAGCGCCGATCGTATGCCATTTCACTCTATGCCGAATCTCTCAGAGCACCAATTGAGCATGTTTATCGAGTGTTGGACGGTCAACAAATTGAAATTCCGATCATTGTTGAAAACATTATTCAAGAATCGGACTCTAATTATCAAATTATTCTCAAAATTTCAAGCTCCACCAAACATGACCACCTATGGAGTTTTTATCCAATATAACATCTTACCAAACTAAAAAGACACAGCCATTCAATACACTTTATCATTATAAGCTAACTCCAAATTTCATTAAGCATTCATTGATTACTAAACACTTCCATTTCTGTAGTTTTTTTGACAATATCTATAACTAATATTTTCTTTGATGGATCTATAAAAATAAATCTGAAGAATTTCAAACTATTTTATAAGCAAAAAACTTTCAAAGATAAAGAATTTTTACAGAATAAAAGTCTTTAAACCGCGAGAAACATTAGTATTATGACATTTGATCAACTATTTATAGCTAATTCAACTGCTCAACAGTAGTCGTTTTTTTAGAAGATATTTTGTAACTTCATCCATGATTTCTTGTTACACTATCTTACATCTCGTAGAAGAATGAAGTGATGAGCAAGTCTTGATACATTTGTGTATAAGATGGTTTTTGATCTGAAACAACTTTGTTTGAAGGCCAAATGATCAAACATAAACAAATCCATAAACAAGTTGAATCATTCTCATTTGTTCGAATAGTACTACAAATGAAGGGTTCAGATCGATCCGATTTGAGATTCCCGTTTCCATTCGATTAATTAATTTCACTAACAAACGAATATTGAAAAGATTGATCTTTTTTGATTACGAATATTTTATTCTCAATAAATCGATACAATTTAGGTGTGAATGATCAAATACTCTTTATCCACACTCACATCCACCCACATCTGTCATGTTGTGATGAGACTGTTTAAAGGTGTGAGTTTTGAGAAAAAAATCCTCATTAGATTTCTTTTCATCATATCCCTGTATCAACATTAGGTTATCCATAGTCTTGGTTCATATATTCTTTCAACTTCAACACTCTTTTTCATTTTCAATACCAATAATCATACCATCGAACCAAATGGTCAATAGTTATCGGCGAAACTTGCAATTTGTTGTTTCATTTGAATCTTTCTCATTATAAACCTTGCGAGCAACTGATAACTTTTGAAGAATCGAGACAGATCTGAGTATCGAACATCAATATCAATTCGTTTGATAAAGTAAAAGGAAAAAGAAATTTTCCATAATCATAACACAAGGTTTTATTTTATTTTATGACAGCATTCAATCGATGAAATATTCATGTTTCTTATTCTTTTTCTTCTTTTCTATAAAAAAATATAAGATATTACATTTAAAAAAAGGTATCGATAGGATGAACAATAATTTAGCAATGTATAAGAAAAGAAATGAAAAAGAGTGTTTGCCATCGATAAACATTAGAAATCTACTTCTCACGTATGACACCATTGTTGCGCGTGCCAAATTACAATCACCAACGCCAATAAAAATACATCTCCACCATCATCATCACTAATCTCGACAAGATACAGTTCTTTGTTTTTCAGAAGTTTGGTATTCTTAATTACATAGGCTACAGTTTTGCCGCCCGTTGTTAATTTAAATTCATGACCAAATACACTACCGACAGGTTCTACTTTGTATACACCATAGACCGATTCTACTTCAAGTGCACTTTGAAAATGCTGTTGACCATGAGTTTTTTTAACTGTTGCTAAATGTGGATCCTTATCTTTGTCACTGTTTTCAGTTGCTGCTGAAATATCATACGCTAAATGAAGATGAAGGACTTCCTCACGTACTTTAATTAATTCTTTGCCAGTTGATGCTTCACAAAGAGATAGTTTGTCGGTTAAGGATAATGGACTCGAACGAACAGTATACACTATCTCATCAGTCCCGTTGTCAATTTCAAATTTAGGATCATTTGATAAGTGTTTGTGATGCACTCGATAGATACGAGAAGAAGAAGCCATATGAAGCGATGATAATATCACGTGTATTTACGTTCTATGTTTTGTGAATAAATCAAGCGTAACACATATATACATATAAAAAATAGCACGTGCTTTCACTACACATTGGTATTATTGTCCAACTTATCGTTCGGTTACAAAAGAAAACCCAAAATATACGCGTCGGGCAAAACTACACCAACGTTTTACAAGGTTTAAAAATAAAAACAAAGATACTGTCAATGTATAAACAAAACAAACTCATTTATTGTTAATATGATTTAATTATATATATTTTGATTATATTTTTTCTTTTTCTTGAATATAGGTACATTGAATGATTAATGAACTTTATTTGAAAAATTGTTAGTTTTATTTTGCAGTATTTATAGACGCGAAGAGGAAGTTGGTTCTAATATTTAAAAAACAAAAGGTGCGTTGAACCACATTTGTATCTTATAGCTATGATATTAAAAACAAAATGTATAGTTGTAAGTACGAATGAAATTGTAAGTTAGATTTTTTGTTAAAGAGTTATGACTTATAATCATTCTTGATAAGTTTTGGATCAAATTTTTCAATAAAATACAAATAAAATTTTTATCTGTGTTGATTTTACTTTTCATATTGACATTATCAAATAAAAACACACACGATCAACTAAAGAAAATAGACATAGTACCCTACAATAGCTAAAAAAAAAGAATTCGTTCGATTTCTTTTTGTCACTGATTGTAAATGATATACAGCAGACAGAAAAATCGAAAAGTATACACTACAAGAATTGTTTGTTTTTTTTTCAATCGGTAAAAAGATTTCAAAACGAACATTTAAAGTTGTCATTTATTATGGTTGGTATGGCTTTGTTTTGTGAACTTTTGTCTAAATCAGTCAGTTAATCTTGTACATAAAGTCTGAGTCATATTATAAATATTTTTTTAAGAAAAATTTTCTAATTAATTTACCCATTCCACACTCAACTAAAATCTCATGTTAACTGTAACTTGTGCCTTGATTAATACAGAAAGACAAGAACGCGACAAAACAAGGTTATTATTAAAGAAATAAATGTAAAACTGATTGAATGAATGGCTGATTAAAATAGAGATTTAATTAGATTTTCTTATTTGCGGTTGATTTAATCCAGTATGCATCATGGTGTATATAAGAAGATATAATACTATATCATTACAAGTAATTTATGAATAAAGCAATCAAATCAAGGCAAAGCACATAAAACTATGGTCAGAGATAACATAAGCCATGGAAGAATCGAACATATTATTCATAAATCCACCATCTTCTCAAAAGAAAAATTTAATTCAAGATTGATATCTCTTGGGTTATAAATAGTTAATTTTGACACATTTCATCTTTGCTTATATTTTATGATAGTAAACAAGAGATGTCAATCTAATAATAAGTTTTGACATATTTTTCTTGGTTGCGATCCATGTATGATATATCCTCAAAGAAATAAGATCGAAAGAAACAAAAAGTAGTTTTATTTCTTTATTATCAACTGATACTTGTGTCTTATAGTTATTAACTTATTCAAATTTAATATAAAGAAAGTATTCTAATGAATGACACACAGTTGACTGTGAATATCTTCATATATTTCGAGATATTATCGGTACTATTCGATTCATTTGTACTGTTTTTGTAATTGCAGGCACTATAAGTATTCGACGATGACGTGAATAAAGTATTCTGATCTTTTGTCTTAAATCTTTCAAAGTACCTAAACACACAAATGAGGTGAGTGGTGGCATGCACATCGATAATGGATATATCCAATTAGATGCTTCTATACCGAAATTGGGATCCCATAATAATTGACCGAGTTGAATTAAGAAAAATCCTCCGTTAGTTATCACAAATAAACACCATACACCAAGTAATTGAACTGCTATCTTGCGATTTTTAGTCCAAGTTAATTGTCGACCTACTCGTTGTTTTTGTCGAAAAATACGAATGAGAAGCAATACGTTAAAAATAAAAGTCAATAAAATAAGTGCAAATCCATGAACAATCTGTTCATAAAGTGCCATCACATCACTCGAAGATAAATAGCAAGCTGGAGCACAATATCCAATACTCGTATCGTAGTAGTTTTCACATGGATAAAATAATAGAAATACAATATAATAAACAAATGGATAAATACAGCAGAAACCAAGCGGAATATAATGTCCGATAAGACGTTTGAGATATGTATCATAGAGTCTTGTATGAAAGATGAGAATATGTCGTTCAAATGAAGCCCATGTTAATAATAAAAAGCAATTTGTAAACAGATAATAATCAATAAAATAGTCAAAGATACAAAAACTGGCAGTAGGTGGCCAGATGGTACCTGTATAATATGAAGAAAGTTGAATTGGTACATCAGTTACTGTTTGAATACCATTAAAAATCAGTAAAAGAATAATGACATGATTATGAAGAGCATGACGGATCGATGGTATTGTTAAACAATGATAAAGATCAAAGATGAAACAGGGAACAGAACAAATTGCAATAACTAATAAAATACTAAATTGAATAGGTTGAGGAAGATAAAGAGGTTCAAAAGTAATGTTTGTAGTATTGTTTAAAAAAGCCATAATACAAGTTCAATTTACAGAAACAAGCAAAATTCCAACAATGTATATTGTTCTATGAGAAAAACCAATATTAAGAGTTTTTCAATGGTATAAAACGTTGCATGTAATTAAATGAGCTTGAATTTAACACGTATGAATTTCATCAAGATAGAAATGAAGTATTCTTATTTGACATCTGTGCTCCACATATTTTTTTTTTCTTTTTAACATTTAAACAGGACGCATTAATGAGACGGCACGCTCATTTTTTTTCCTATTAGTTCATCTCATAGACTGTCCTTCATTTGTTAATATTAATAAAATGAAGCTTAGGTACACTACTAGTGTTTTGAATTTTCATTTGGTCAAAAACTTTACGTGGCATAATTAAATTTTTGAAACTTGATTTTGTAAGATTTGCTTAATTGAAGCGCATATAGAAAATAAATAGTACTATAATATATTAATCAAAAGCTTATTTTTCTTTTCTAGAAGTCAATTATATATTTTTTTCTAATAGAAAAGGTTATTCGTATAATATTAATGATGGACTAATTTTATAAGATATTGTATAATAAAATGTGCAGCTAAAAAGAAATCGACTAATTCTCACATGATTTACTATTTAGAATACGTTTTTGAACTAAAATAAATTCGAGCAATTTATAACAAGCTATACATGATGTAAAGAAAAAGAGTATAATGATCTTTTTCTTCTCCTATAATATTTATAAAGTATTTTATGAGAAAAGTTTTTTTGCATCTGCAAAAACTCGTGTTGAAAATGAAATACACTGTTAAAAAAAAATATTTCTAACATATCATAGAGTTCCAAAATCGATTACATACTCAAGTTTAAGCATCGAAGAACATAATCAAAACATGAGCTACAGATGAAAGCACGTAGTTTTCTATCAATTGAAATATGACTTGAAAATGCTTTATGGTACTGAGGAAAAATGAGTATAAGTTGAATATGTAACGAGTGGTCTATTCCACGAATGAAAGATTATTGCTTTCTTTCTTCGAAAATTAGAAAGACATTTCAAAGAATACATTGCAATAATGTCAAACCTAAAAATTGAAAATAATTTTTTGCTGACCATACAGAAATTTGGATAAATTCTATAGACAAATAGTTTTATGTTTGGGTTTTTTTAAAGAGATTAATAAAAGACTACACATCTTTTTGAGTTTAAGAATATATATTTGATGTTGTTTTTTTATGTAGTAGTTAATACGATATGTTTATGTATTATTAGACTTCTCTATTGCACAAAATAACTTATTTTCCCTATATTTTAGTATACTCTTACTTAATAAGAAAGAAATCAAGCAAACTTTCATAATTAATGAAGAAAATTAGATATTTCTTTCTTTTGATATCACAAAAGTAAGATTTTGTTTATTTTTAAAAGATCAAAGAAAAGAATAAAGTTTCAAAAAACTTATAATTTATTATTTAGAATAAAACACACGAGATATGGAATCGTAGAACAGAAATTGTTAAAAAAAAGTCGAAGAATTGAAAAAACAAAGAGGAACTTCATTAAATCATTGTAATTATGAAGAAGAGCTTTTAAAAGATGGTTCTTCAAGAAAATTACAACAAATGAGAGTAAAAAAATATTCTTTAAAATAAAAATTAGAACAAGAATCCGGATCACAAATCAATTAACGACTAAGCAAAATACTCTTGTAAATTAGTTATGGTCTTTTTTTCAATTATTTCTTCTTCTTATTTTGCTTTTCACGAACAATGAAAAAAAGAAAAAGTTGAATTAGAAAATACACTTAAAAAAAAAGAACAAGAATCTCTACTTAATCATCAATGGAAACAATGAAAAATTTAGCACTAGATTAAAAATTTTACATAGGAAAAGGATTATTTGATTGTAAATTATATAAAATGAAACGACCACAATGGGGCATTCCTTATACTTTTTTTTCTCATTGATCACTACTAAAAAATGAGACAACAAGAACAATAGTTTTTTTTAGAGACTATTGGAAGTTTATAATTCGTCTGCTACTCTCTTATTTTCCACATCCAATGATCGAATAACAGGAAGTTGGATAATTTTTGGAAAAATGAACTATTATAGTGTTCAATTGGCTTTCTCTTTCTTCTAGAGAAATCTCAAGAAAATCTTATTCACAGAGTATGATGCTCCGTTGACTACAAAACACTATGGAAGAAAACTTTTTGACGTGAGCATGAAACTCTCTCTATTGCTCCTTCTCAGTAGTGCTTTTAGAAAAAGTTTTCCATAGTCCAACTTTATTCAGCCATGCGTGAGCAAATAAACAAGACCATAGATATATTATTATAGAATTACGACAAATCATACTCGATAAATCTCTCGAAATTTGACGCCTTCTACTGGTCATTGACACTGTTATTAAAATGAAAAACTATATTTTCAATTTAGTGTAAAGAACAATGAATGAATAAGTGAGATATAATTACACCTTTAAAGCTGACCAAAATTTTTCTTTTTCAATCTATAGACTTTAAATAAAAACATTAAATCAAATATTGACATAAAAAATCAAAACATCTGAAGAAAGAAAACGAAAATAAAAACCTATTTATGCTACACGTTTTTTTTTTTCGTTACATTATTTGTCTAGGATGACAAAATTTATTTTGACTGATAGACGGAGGCTGATGACATGCAAAGAGGAGAAATAGAAGGAACGAAATCTGCGACATCGTTTCTTAACTTGACGTTTTTACTATTCTGCTATAAATCAATATTGAAAAATTATGGCTTCGATTTCTTCTAATGCATTATTGTTTCATAGCATATGTTGTGAGTAGCATTCAAGAAACCGTTTTTCTAAGTGTGTTTGTCATGATTCACGAAAACTAAATTCATCTATTTGTGAAACCGAATGCATTTTACATCATAGACTATAAAAATACCAGTAGTATTATGTCTGAACAAAAACAAAATGCATCCGTAATTTCAAAAATAGTTTTTATTGTGATTGTGACCGGATAACATAACTTATCACTATAATGATATAGTTATCAAAGTTTCCACAAGAACAATTCTATTTTATAGATTTTATTCAATGAAATTCAAATAATCTCTAATATTATCACTTTGGCAATAGTTGACATCAATCTTTTTTATTTTAGATTTAGAACGAGATATTTGTTAAAAATTTACAATATCTTAATATACATTATGAGCGACGAGTTCAATTCAACATGGGCACTGCGTTCAGGAGATGTATTTAGTAATCTAGAGAATATAGATGAAAAACAGGTTCGTAAAAGCGATCATTTTAAGTATTATGATCTGTGTTGATATTTTAAAATCTTTCTTTTTCTCTTTTCTCCATAGACAACCACTAATATTGATCGATCGAATTTATTGTGTTCATTTTGTAATACGTACTTTTCATCATCAACAGCTATTAGAGAACACTTACTTGTGTGTGGTAACAAGACTGATCAATGTCCGAAATGTCGAAAATTTATTCGACGAGCCATCTTTGCTTATCATTATGAAAATGAGTGTGCTTACATAGACGAATTCAATGATTTAGTCACTACGACATCAACTGGATTTGATATGTCATCATCAGCATCACATTTGAATGATTCATTACCATCTTCATTCAGGTCAACCAAGGAGAATACTAACGATAAACAAAATCGTACGACAGCGATTGTTTACGAAGATCAAATGCATCAAGATGAAGATATTTGTAAGTTCTCCTGGTGTTTCTGATTTCGGTTGAAGTCTTTTCGAATAGATATACCGCTGGTAGTTCAATGTCCATTTTGTGATCGAAACTATGAACCAGCTGCTTTGAAGAGACATCAAGTATGATGCATTGTTCGATAAGATATTTGAATTTCTTTGTTATCATCTCTTCATTTACGAAGGAAAATTGCCTTCAAAACTCATCTAGACGTATGATGACTAATGAACAACAATTGTCGGAATATAGCTTAAACGTAAATTTTGGTATTTAATTGAAACATAAACGTCCATGTTAATTTATTTTACACATTCCACATCTCATAGATCGATCGTTAGTAACTAGATCATATCCATCAAATTTTAACAATTCAATTCCTTGTCAATATTGTAATGATAATGAGTTATTTGATTCAGAACAGTTGAAAGATCATATGGCAAGTTTTTTAATTTTATTTCAAATGCTGCATATGTTCTTAATTTTTTTTTACAGAAAACTTATCATGAAAGAAATGATCAACCACTATATCAGTCTGTATATACTAGTAAAATGATTATGAATCGAATTTTTTTTTCTTTAAGGAGACACATCAAGAGACAGATTATTATTTCAACAGTTCCATGCGAATATTGTAAAACCCAATGTCAATTTGATGATATCAATATTCATCAAGTAACTACTTTTTTTCTTTTGATCTGATTATTTGATTTATCATGTGGCATGTATATGTAGATGGATTGTCCTCAGAATCCCCGTAATATTGCCTATCATCAAAGTAAAACTTTCAAGCCACACCTATCATCCACAACTTAAATAAAATATATCTCAATTCATCAATAAAGAACGAAATATATTCTTATGAAAAAAATAAAGGATTATTTTATAAGAACTTTTCGTTTCCTATTCGCAAATAAAATATAATAATTATATATGTCTGTATAACAGTTGATTTCATTATCAAATTGCAGAATGCTTAAGCAATTATAATATATGATACAGTCGACTATCAATTATTCAAAATTAACTTTGAGTAAATAATAGATTGTCATTCAATTTAATATAAAAAAGATGTGAAAATCTAACAAGGCACTTTTGCCATTATTAAATTAGTCTAAAAGAAGTCGATTAGCATTTCAAATATTAATGAGACATATCTTATCCATTAGTTTTACATAATAAATACCTTGTAAAATGTCGATATTTTGATACGTTCGACACTTTTTCTCGATGTTTTATTTGATCAACATTTTCATTCTCTCAACTTGTTCAATGTAGAATATACCGATATCTTCTCCTTTCGTATTTTTTCTGTTATACTTTTATATCATTCATACTATTACACTATGCAGTAAGAAATCATCTACTGAAAATAGTCCGCAATTGTGTAAATATTTTTTTTATTAATGAAGCTATCTAAAGATACAGGACATATCATTTATACGTAAGTCACATCAATAGTACCATAAATTCTATTGCTACGAAAATGTCTTATTTTTTCCTAAATAATCTCTAAATAAAAAAAAAAAACAATGTCAAATTATCATATATCTAAAATAAAAATTGTACATTGACAAGTATTAATTGTAGATGTTCTTGCTAGATGATGGACTGATTGTAAATAATGTCAATCGAAGTTTTCCTATTGCATCTAGTAAATGATGATTCATTTCCATGATCGAATCTAATGACGATGGATGAGGACAATTTCCAAGAATTGTACGACATGATTCATCGATTGTTTCACATTTTTTAAGAACGTCATTATAATTCTCTAGTGTCATTTCACGACCCAATTCCGAGATTATAACTGTCTTTTTTCCTAAAATAGCCAAGAGTACATTAATCACTTCATGATAATTAGTAGACAATTGTTTCTTTTTATTTTCATCTTGAGATCGAATGGTCTGAGCCACATCTAGATAAGAAAAAAACGAAAACATAAACCTACAAAGAAATGAACTATTCTTACCATTGATGAGTCCAATCTAAAACATACGAAAAATTAGAACATATGTTAAACTCATGTGAACAACTTACAAAACGCCATAGACGAAGAGAAATAAAAAGTAAAGGTATGCCAGCGAAGAGATTATCTCTCCGTATGGTAATTAAATCGATAACAAAAGAAGCCATAACAATAGTAGCGTCTAACCATTCCATTTTTTTCTCATGAAAATTCCACCAATGTCGTCCGAATGCATAGACTTTAACAAATATTTCAACGACGAATACAGTCAACAGTGCCAGAGAACAATAATCAAGAATTCCAGCGATAAACTCTATCCGATCATACATTTCTTTTCCATCATGTGCAATTGTATGATTAAGATTTTTTAAGTCACACGGCTTTTTAAGTGTGATAAAATCAAGTATAAATTCAGTTATCATAAGTAAACAATCAATAAGTACGAGTGCAATGATAATGATGTGAAAAAGTGGCTGTTCAATAAAACGAACAAGTTCACGTTGCCATTTATTACGAACATTCCACCATCGGCCGAACATTGAACAACATGCATTATCAAAACGAAGACAACAACCTTTGTCTTGAATCTTGTCAGTATTTCGATCAAAGTGTTCTCCAAGAGTCATTGTTGGCTTCGGTATAAGCAGAGCAATCAACGGATCGACATAGTTTGTCTCCATATTATCTTCAAGATGTGGCTCTGATTTCATTTCATCCATTTGTTATTATTCTGCTAGTTTCTCGTATGAGAGTAATGCACACAGGCCTATGATATGAATAGACAAGCATTAATATTAGTTAATGTTGTAACTAATTCTAATTATCATAAAACACTACGATTTTATACAGATTCTGTCTCATCATCCTATCTGATTATCAGCTGAGAGAACATCATGCTAGTTTTCAATAAAATATTAAAGTAGATCGTTACTAAAACACAAAGAATTTTGTTTAAAGTAAGTTTTCGAGTTGAAAACATTTTTCATTCATTCACCTATGTTTGATAAGCTTTCTTTCACGTATTTTTGCTTCAATAAATGCATTTTTTTTAGACTAAACTCAATTTTCTACTATCAAAGATAACTGAGATATTCGTCAAATTTTTAAAAAAGCCATAATTTCTACTAAATTCGTTTCGTTTACTGTCTCATAAGAGGATGAACATAAAAACAAGTTTTAAATTTATTTGAATTTGTAGATCACTTGCAGAATGCTCATTAGTTAAGATTCAATGCGAGTGAAAATATGAAACAAAACTGAAAATATTTATTTTACTACAATTCCCTTAATACGACTAGCAGTCATCAGAATGCAAAAATATCTGTGTAATAACACAGATCATCCGATTTCAAATGATATGATGAACTTCCGTTCTGAATTTCAATCAAACTTTATCAGATATAGCTTTTTCTTTATGTTTTCATGTAAATAAAAATTTGTTTCTATCTTACTTAACATCTAAAATTAGTAAAATACGGATTACACGAAAGAGTATTTTCTCAGTCGAAAAATTATTCTTGTATCATCTACATAATACGATCAAAAAAAATGGAGCATCACGATTCAGACCTACCTCTTTATGTGACAAAACGAGCAAAAATGATTCAGTCTAATAGCTATTAACCAAACATTCGAATTATAAAGCAACATAAGCACTCATTTTCTTGTCGTATTCATTATTTTCTACATAATGACATGAAACGAAATAATTTCTTTGCATTTTGACACATTAATGAAATAGAAAGGTGTTGGACGAAAAATACGTCTTTCGTTCTTTAACTGGGATTTGTTTCTATTTTATGAGCAACTCGATGACTAAATCAGAACGAAAGTCACCTAGATGAAATAAAGAAAGCTTTTGTACGTATCATACAGAGAAAAACTGAAGAATACAAAGAAATCAATTGATAATAAAATATAACAAACATGTTTTTTGTCACTTATCAATTAGTGTCAAACACATCAATATCGATATGTATCATGTTATTCAATGGCAAGTCTCTTACTTCTTACGTCGACATATATCGATATTTTATCGATGACCAAATGATAGAAAGAATAAAAGTGAAAAATGTTTTATCCTAGCTCTCAAGAGTTTCATGATTTTTCTATTGAAACCAATGAATAGGTGAATTTCAATCATATTTTATAGGCCAATTTACTTAAAACTGATATATGTAATTTCGCTACCTTGATTTCTGTACAAATATTATGACAAGTAGTTTTTAAATCTAATATGACTTAGTTACAAACACCACCCTGAAACCACTCCACGCTGTTTTATTTCGCCTTTAGTTTCACATTTGTTAGTGTATTCCATGTTGTTCTGATGGTCTGTTTTCGCCATTTTCTCAGACTTTCTACGTACTCAGTTACAACGAAAGATATCGTTACTAAATAAAAATTTCCATAGATAATTTTTCAAACTGTATCAGGTAGAAAAAATAAATCTTAGCCACGAGGTCAACTATATTGACTATCAGAATACAGATTGACAATTACTATGGATGATACTCTTGTCGATTAACTCTGCGACCTTGATAAATGTCTTCGTGACTCCTTTTTTATCTCACATCTATCAACGAGATCATGTATGTTTCATACTCTGCATTTCGGTAACAAATAAATGACAGCCGCAGTATTTTTTATAACGAGCGTGCAGAGGTATAAAGCCACAGCTTGTATAGGACGAGAGAAAAAAATTATTTCTTTTTTACTCGATGACGAAACAACTTAATATGCTCTCTACCTCTGTATAAGGTAGCACACTAGGCAAAAAATAAAAAAAAAACAAAAAGAAAATAATGAGAAGCATCATATGTCACTAAGAAGAACCTTTGGTGTGCATGCATATTTCTCATTCGAAAAAAGAAAACGGATGGTTGTTTGATGAATAACTCCATAATGAAAGCGGTAACCATTCTGCCGTTTTTATTGTACGATAAATAAACATTGAGGAACAACCTGACCAGTAATGAATATTGATCATTTTCTATGATACAATTTTGAAATTAAGTGGATTAGGTTTTCAGACTATCGAAAACATTGAATCATGGATAAAATTGAGTACGATCCATGTTTTATCAGTGCTTTTTCTTCATAAAATTCATAAATTCACTAAAACTATATGTGTTCGGATTTGTGGTGTGCATCAATCATTGATAGAACTAATTCTATTTTGCTGGTGACCATTTGTATTCTTTCTTTAATTGCTAAGTATCCTTGATAATCAACGAGTGACGACATGTATAACTGTTTTTTTAATAGCTCTGATGTGTAGACTGAAGTTTGAGTTTTCATTTGAAATTCAAGTCCATGTTTCAATGTGAAATTGCATTTCAAATGTGCTTTTCAAGCAGATATTTGCTTTGATTATATAAATCTTTGCAAGATTAGGATCTCGAAAATGACATTTAATCAATATGGGAAAGTAAGATACGAGATCAATCTTATCTTCGGATTTGAGTTCCCGATTCTAACGTTAACTTCAAGCTTATACTCTTACGTTTTTTCTCTAAAACTTTGTAGAAAACCTCTATACCTTAAAAACGAGTACGCGCATGAGATCAAGTACAGTTAATAAATCATATTTTCATACTTCTCCGATATTGTTAGTCACGAACGGATTCCATTGATAAGATTACAAAAAAGCTTTCATAGCATCAGAGACTCAAATTATCGACATACTTGACTTTTAACCGCTTTTTCTACAGAATTTGAAAAAAGTAAAACTTAGACAGTTGATTGATTTATACCTAAAAAATAAAGAACTATCGGTTTCGTTCGTAAAATGTATATTTTGACATATAACTGTATCGATAGAATCGTATCTATTAGATCAGTTTAGATATAAATCTTTTTGTCTTTGACACATATTCAGTCCATTCTTTGCCAAACTTCTTTGTTAGCTCTTCTTTCTCACGAATAACACGATTTGTGAGAAATAGTATTAGTATCGTACAACATATTAAAAATCCGACAGGACCAAACTGAATTTGTATCCATGTCACATTCGGAAGAAAGTTAGCCACACGTCGATGTACAAGAAACGTTCCGATAGTTAAGATGCTTACAAATGTATAGGATGGATGGCGTACATAAGCATATGGACCAGTTTTGATTAGTTTATGAGAACTACGAATTGTAAGTTTAAAGGTGAAAAATGATCCTAGTGTTCGATAACACCAAATTCTTCCTAAACCACCGACAATCATCAAAATATATCTAAATGTTGAACTTAATGTAAGAGGCAAAGGATTAATAATCGTTAAAGTTTTCGGAAACCATGTAGAAAGTGATGCTGGCGAAGTAGCTTGGATATATTAATATAAGATTTGATATAATGTAGAACTCCATATAAGAAGTTTGCCAAGTTTAGGTCCAAACGATAATGTAAACGCTGAAGCAACATCTTCATATGGGACATAATCACCTGTAGACACCACAATATTTGGGGCAGTAATACTAATGTGGAAGAGCAGTGTTGTAAAAATCAGCAAAAAAATTTGGAGATGGAAAGACATGTTGTGATCGTAAGACATACTTTAGATGTTAAGCTACAGTGACAAGGACATTTTTTTCTTCATCTTGCGTGTTCACATCTTCAATTTTTTTTTTCGTTCTTGTATCAGAGAGAAACGAAAAAGTTTGGCCTTGGTTTGCTTATCATCTTAATACTGTTTTTTGTTGTCACATGATGAGTAATAAGCACTAAGTGTTTTTCTCTCTGTATCATAAAGAGATAAAATAAATCTGGTCATTTTATGAACGGAGAAGGAAGAAATTCAGTAATTTTCTTTTAATATAAAGTTATTTATTCTGCCTTTTGTGATAATCCGAACACAAAGTGTTTATTAGGTCGATTCCGATCTAAAGCTGCTTACACGTATGAGAATATATTGATGGAAGAATAAATATTTTTAAATAATGTCAGAATATTAGATTGATTAGTTTAAGATATGAAACTATCATTTGAGAAAGTTTGAAATATTAATCATTTAACATTTATCAGACACTCAGGCCCTCTGTTGTCTTTACTTGTATTACTTAATTTTTATTGGTTAAGTGCGTATTGATTCTCAAAATAGATTATAAATCTAAACGACTGTCTGTGGTTGAGAAAAGTGAAATTATTATTTGTATGCTACAAATATTGTGGTCAACTACATTTCTTTCTTTTAATTGTCAAGCCAATTTGTTATTTAAATCAATCAAAAAAAAAATGAAATAAAGATTTAATTTCGTTTGTCATTTTTTTAAATTTAGTCGTGTTTATTTTTAACTCGTACTTTTCGTTTTTTTCTTTGCTCTATGATAGATATGAAATGTGCGCAGTTTCGTTTGGATTTTTGATCACTGTCTATTTCGAAGGCCATTTGATAATTTTTGAAACTGATAACGAACGTATATATAAGGATAGTTTGAATTTGATAAAAGCTGTTATTTATAGTGAGTAACATATCATTTGATTGAAAAAAAATTTTTCTTTTCTTGAAGTGTCACCGAATCTTTGTTTTTGTTTTAGGTATATATAATCTGTAAAATAATGAATCGGTTGATTCTTTTTATAATACTTTGCTTTACTTTCTTATTAATTATACAAAAAACGACTGTATATGCTGATACATGTTTACATAATGAACGTTCAAAATGTACTCAAGTTCGTAATGTAAATGAAGTAACACATGAAGAGAATGTTCAATGTAATCAATTATGTATTAAAGCAGGACATGCATCAGGATATTGTTCAGTATCATCGAATTGTTTTCAATATTGTTTGTGTCATGAAAAAGACTTGTAAAAACATTTTATTTATTTTTCTTTTCAAAATTTTTTGTTAGAATAAAGGAAAATTAAAATTTACTTCTATAAAAATGTCTCCAAAAAGAAAAATATCGATTTATATGTCTATTTTTTATCTTCTTTGTATGTCAACATTGATCGTTTGTTTTTGGGAAGCTTTTTTCTTCTGATTACTTATTATATGAAAGATCCTTTACTATTTTAATACCATCATGGTTCACTATCAATTCTCAAATTTTTTATAGGAATATATTTGAACAAAAAAACGTATTAGTGTAAAAAAATTTTTGCCATCAATCAATAAATTGTTTCATTTATAAATTTATCTTCTATGACACTAGATATAAGTAAAACGAAGCAGACTTCTGTGTGCTTTTGAACTTTAATATATGTATAAGATTACAAAGCAGATTTTGATAAGCTACCAACAGCCCAATGAAAATCAGTATTAAATAATATTTTCATATAAAGAAAAAAAAATATTTCTCAACTAAAAATAAAACTTATTTGAGATGTTATTAAGTAAACATTAGATAATATTAAAGGTATGTGTACCATTGAGTTCACTCAGGTCAATATTGTTATTTCATGATTGGAAGATAAGACTATTACATTAAAATTCGCACTTAAATCTTATTTCTGGTACTTTAAATACGATTTTTAATTTTAGACTCCAATCCGATCAACAGAAAATTTCAGGTCGAGAATCGATCAGATCTGAGACTTAGCCAATGAACTACTTTATATAGTAATTTACAATTAAAAAAAAAGAAGATTATGCAAAAATAAATATTTATTTTTCTTGGTATTTTCAAACAGCAGAATTATCATGAAACTAATATAACAACATCAATTATTTGACTTTTAACAGAACAAAAAAATTAATCTGGTACAGAACTGGTAGATATAACAGCAAATAATCTTTGTAATGATAGTGGCATCATTTTAGGTTTAACCAGAAAAGATTTCATACTTAGCCAACCTTGCTGAAGTAGAAAAAGCATAAACATCAAAGCTTCCATTTTATACCAAATTGATTCAATCATACGAAAAGCAAGAAAAAAAAAACTAATGCTATGAGCTATGACATCAATTGTTGTTAGTAGTATTTTGCTACCAGATTCAATTAAACTAAATCGATTTCCTTGAAACTCAATACAAGACCAATCACATTTTTATAATAATGTAAATGAACAACAAGTGCAAAAAGCAACATGATACGAAGTGGTACACCAACAATTTTTGATGGATAGAATAGTAAATTAATCAAATGAGTAAATGCATCTAATAAAAAAAAAATAATGTCGACGACGTAAATAGTCCACTTTGAAATTGCGAATATCTAAGTAGAAAATGTATTGTTCTAGAGAAATTCATTGAAATTCAATCGAATAGATATTTTTAAAATAATTATAACTATAAATAGAATATAAAGTTTAACTAAGAAGACGAAAAGATGTGTTATAGCCATGAATAGTTCGAGCGAAGCCTATATTAGAAAAAATTCTTGATAGAACAGCATAATGTAGTATTTTATTTATGCTATTTTGGTAATGATGGTGTATATATGTATATACTCGTTTCATTTCACTTGTTGTTCTAGTATACATCCTTTAAGTTCGTTTTCATCATTCATTTTGTTATTGTAGTCGTTGCAGAACTTTTCTCTTACATATACTCTTCAACCTTAAGCACGTAAATGCAATTACAGAACGCAAAAGGCTATATATTATCAAGTACACTTTTTCATTCTATAATAATTTTCTCTACGAATTCAGACATAAAAAACAGACGTAATATTAAACACAACATTTCCGCAGCTTTTGTCAATATTAGGAATCATATTTTAGTAGTTCATGTAAGAAATTAATGCATTCTAATAAATCTATTATTAAATAAGTTCGACTGAATATAACAGATAGCTATTGAAATTCAACAAAAAGAAATAGTGTACTTGTGGGTGAATATGGAAAAAAGAATGTACAATTGAGAAATGTTCAATACATGATTTTCTTTGTATGAAAACTAAGAGTATAACTCGATTTAATGTAAGAAAAAAAAATCATCACAAACAACGCTTAAAGGGATATTTTTCCATTAAAATAATGAATAAAACGATACTGAGTCAAATAGTAAGATATAAACGTTCGAAAGATAACTATTGATTTCAAATTAGTTTAGACTAGCGGAAGTACCCGATGTCAGTTAAGATAGATTGATAATAATGTATCTAACAAAAGAGAGAACGATACCGCTATAATCATTCTCTAATTAATGATCTTTAACGTAACAAAATCGCCGTTCGATATTTTCCTCTGTTATGAGTTACTTTTATTAAAAGAAGACAATTTACTTATATGCATTTTTATTGTAAAGCTGTTCGATATACAATATTTCGAGTTTGACCATCAAGAGCGAAAATATACAAATTCTTTCCAGTTCCTACCCTTGAACATGCTACGTACAACTGACCATGTGAAAAGCAAGGAGTTTCCAGATGAATACCAGCAACTTTAAGTGATTGACCTTGAGCTTTATTGATAGACATTGCGAACGCAAGACGCACTGGAAACTGAAGACGTTTGAACTCAAACGGTATATCATTAGGAATCATGGGAATTCGTGGTATGAATACATCTTCTCCTTTTGCGCAGCCTGTTAAGATAGTTGCTTCAATCACATGGGGCATTAAACTTTTCACACAAAGTCTTGTACCATTACAAAGCCTTGGTGCATCTAAATTTCTTAGAAGTATTATCGGAGAGCCAACCTTGAGTACCAGACTGTGTGGCGGCATTCCAGGAGGTTCTAGCGAGTTGAGAAATTCGGTAGGATATTGTACTGCTTGGTCAATGTTCACAACCGTATCAATTGACTTATATGATATATCTACTCCAGGTAACTGTTGTTGGATCTGTAAGTTAATAGTATTCACGCTGTCATTTTTCGGAGCAAGAATAGCACGTTCACATAGCCATTTGTGGTCATTGAAACAGCGTCGAATATCTGGAAATACACTGGTTTTGAGAGTTTCTATTGAATCTACTATATTACAAAAATTATTTGGTATTGTGATAAGTCCATTAGTTGGATCAGCAACTATTTTTCCATCTCCAAGATTAAGTAGTTGTTGAGCAAATTGGCCAGCAGCTACATCACCTTGTAAGTGAACTCGCATGTTGGTCTTGAGTTCCAGCTTATGAACATGTCTCCAAAGATATGAAGCTTTTAAGCAGGCTTTGAGTTCATCAGCCATCGTTCCTTTCGGGATGACTGGTAATGTTTGACGAAAATCACCAGCTAGAAGTAAGATAGCTCCACCCATGAGTTTTCCATTGTCGCGAAGATCTTGAAGTGTTCGATCAAGAGCTTCTAATGCATTTCTGTGCGCCATGGTACATTCATCCCATACAATAAGCTTACATTCTTGTAAAACTTTGGCTTCTCCAGTACCTTTGCTAATATTACAAAGTGGAGTTTCACATTGTGTAAGATTGAGCGGCAACTTTAATGTTGAATGAGCAGTACGACCACCATGAAGTAGTGTAGCTGCAATGCCGGAAGAAGCCACTGCAATTGCAATTTCAGACTTCCGTCGAATTTTAGCTAAGAGTAGATTAATGACAAATGTTTTTCCTGTTCCACCTGGTGCATCGAGAAAAATTATTCCACCGGCTTTCCGATTGATCCGATCTAATATAGTATTATAAGCAGCCTTTTGATCTGGTAACAGTAATGGTTCGTTTGTTGATATATACTCGTTCAAATCGTTCAAATCGTAGCTCGTCTCTCGCAGTATTTCTCTGGTCAATCGATCACCAAGAGTTCTTAGAGGAGTTGGAAGACCTAATTGTTTAAGATCTTTGCCAGCCATTGCCAGAGCTTTATCTTCAAGAATAATCAATGTTTGATTGAACATATCAGGTGTATAATTTAAAGCTAATCCAGGATTCTCTCTGCGAGCTTTTATGAGAATATCTTCGGTTAAACTTTCTTTGTAGGATTCCCATAATTTTCCCGGATTAGATGGACCACATACTAATAGTAAAATTATGAATAGATTTCTAAGTTGTGAAGGAGATTGAATCGCAGCTGCTTCAGTCATCGTAGCGTTCCATTGCGTACCGTCTTCAAGTAAGTCAAGTAGTTGACAGGCTTCCCGAAATGTCGCACATTTCCGACCATTTACAGTTCTTAGAGCTTCAAACGAAGTTGGACCTCTAATTGTATGGAGTAAAAGTCGTAGAAAGAAGCATTCAAAATTATTTGGATGCACAGTGTAGACGCGGCCCAAAGCGTTTGTTGCTCTAATGTTGCGATAGCCAGGTACACTCGTTCCTTGAACACGACGTTTGAAAGCTTTTTCTGACGCGTTCCAAGTGTAAAATTTTGGAACATCGCAATACAGTAGTGTTCTAGCAAATTCATCTTTCTGACATAGTAAGAAAAATGCTGTCAACGTCGTCTTTGGTGGTTCATTAATTCTTTCATGTAAATTGTCTTCCGTGAAATAGACGCGTTGTCCATTTTCTAAGTGAACAGCCAGATGTACCACCGTCGGATGTCGTTCATGAATTGAAAAGTCCAAGATTCGCCAAACTGCTTCATTACTGCTGATGTATCGTCCTAACTGATATTGTTCCACTTCATCAACTGTTGTTCCATCTTTTCCAAAGCCAAACATCGCTTGATCACTACCTTTGTTAACGTATTTGCAAATGTATTTGATCGACTTGACCGAATTGCAATACTCGACATTAATATGAACTTGAAAAATTCGGGAAAGTAACGGACAGTATGGTACAACCCATTTGTTATCGATTTCAATTTCTTGAATCGAGTTGCCAAATTTGGTCTTGATTCTTGCTTTGAAACCACCATCTTCTGGACTTCGCCTTCTGTAGAGTGGATAACCATCTTCACCTGTTTGTGTATCTTGAATAAGTTGTCTGGGATACCTTTTGGTACACTTTCCATCTTTCATACACGAAGATCCAGGATTGATACTACCGCAAGGTCCATGAATCATGTTTTTCACGATAACCTGAAATAGACGGGGATCTTGTTGACGATCTGGTAATTCTGCACTAATAACGCTGTCTATTTCATCTGGCTTAATTTTGTCTTTCAACCATATCAATATATGAGAATGAGGCAGACCTCTCTTTTGCCATTCAATAGAATACATCCAACATTGTGTTGGTCCAAATACATGACTTTTGGTAATAATATTCATTAATTTTATGAGTTTTTGCTTGAATACTCTTGCCAGCAGATCATGACGATCGGACGGATTTTGACCATCTAATAGTTCTTCTTGAACTTCTTCCCATGTTGGATTGCAAGTGAATGTTACAAATAGATCAGGTCTTCCGTAGTTTCTCACGTATGTCATAGCATCTTGTGTATATTCGTGCATGTGACGTAGACTTCCAGTGAATGTAGATGGTAGTATTACTAATTGACCAAGGGTATCGGCGTTGCCATCATTAGCTATTGCGTCTCTTAAGTGAATGTATTCGTCTACTCTCAGTTTCTTTTGGTTAAGTCGTATGAACCATAACCGCTCACTTTCGATTTTAGCGTACATGTCAACGATAAATTGATGAAAAAGTTGACGACATCTTAAGATATGATTTATAGCACCAGCTCGCATCATTATTCTGTAAGCATAAAAATCCATGGCCGAAACTTTTTTGCGATCAACGGGCGTTCCTGTTGTCGGATCAGTCTGCATTATGAGAAAATGATATCCATCTTCTCCCTCCCAAAAGATCAGTGGATATTGCAACGCATCGTATGACCTGTGTGTTTCTGCCACTCTCTGTAACTGATTGTTTTTCTTCTCCAAAATGATGTCCCGTCTCTCGAATTCGTTACCAGCAATGATGACTGCTACTTCATTTGTAGAAGGTTCGTTGAAGCGTCTTGCATGCTCCCTAGCAGGCTTCTTGTCTGCACTGATAACCACTCTGTATTCGTCAGAAAGCATCTTCTCTAGAGTAGACTTGAAAATATGGACATAGCTATTATATTGATGAAGCATTCGTTGCAAATCTATAACAATATCTTGTCTTGTACCTGGAATATTATTGCATCGTTGTCTCGCCTGTTGCTGTTCATCTCCCATGAAATAAATTTGAAGAAATTTAGGTTCTTCATTGGTCAGTGGTAACAACGATCGTATGCTATGGTAAACTTGACCTTGAATTTTGAATGTAGGCATGAAACCTGGCTCACACACCTCGCTTGTAACACCAAATGACGTCATTTGAAAACATGAATTATACTTTCGAATGTTCTCCAAGAAATGCTTTGATGTTGTTGTTGTTGTGCCGGACATTAATGATTCCAATGGTTCAGGAGGCTGTCGAAGTGATGGCAGTTTTACTTTACCATTGGAACAGCACATACCTGGTGCTTCGCCAGACCACTTGAGTGCATCACAACATGAGCAAATCTCTGTCATTCGACCAATATAAAGTTGAGGGTGATTGTCATAATTTTTGGTTGGATCATATTGAAATGCTTCCCGTTCCATGAATGACCAACGTGATGCTCGTGAATTGGAACGTCTTCTTCGATCTTCCTCACGCCGTACTTGTTGTTGTTCTGAAGACTCAGCAGCTCTTGAAGCTGCTTGTCTTATCCGTTGTTCTTCAAGCCGAGTTGTTGTTTGTTGCGCTGTCTCAGCAGCTCTTGAAGCCGCTTGTCTTGTGCGTTGTTCTTCAAGCCGAGTTGTTGTTTGCTCTGGTGTTTCAGCAGCTCTTGAAACAGCTTGCCTTGTGAGTTTATCTGTATTCCGAATAGTTGTTTGTTCCGCTGTCTCAGCAGCTCTTGAAGCTGCTTGTCTTGTTCGTTGTTCTTCAAGCCGAGTTGTTGTTTGCTCTGGTGTCTCAGCAGCTCTTGAAGCCGCTTGCCTGGTTCGTTGTTCTTCAAGCCGATTACTTGCTTGTTCTGGAGTCTCAGCAGCCCTGGAAGCTGCCATTCTTCTTGAAGCTGATGTGCTTCTTCCCAAAGAACTTCTTTTTTTCAGTGGCATCGCGTAATATTATCGGAGTAAGTAGAAACGTTAGAAGATATTGTACAAAACTGTGTAGTTTTTTGATAAATAACGATAAAAAAAGACGTCTATATATATCACGAAAAGAATACGAAAATATTTCGATTGTTTTACTCATGACATCATTTAAAAATTCGTATAATAGCATATTACACGTCATAAGGAATATGATCCGTCATTGTAATCCATAACAAATGCCAAAGATACAAAGTAATATTCAAGGCATGTACCAGAACTGACTACGTAATCATACAATCATATGGTATGTATATCTACATTACGTATGGAATTGCCATTTGAGTCAGCAGAAATAAAAACAAATACATCATTATTTTAAGCAAAAAATACGATTCATATTCATACATTTTTCAGTGTGATGCGATATGAAACCCACATAAAAAATTTCGATAGAAATATAAACCAATTCTTTCTCATTGTATCAATTAAATAATGGAACGCATTTTATTTCACCTTTATTCGATTTTAATCCATTAAAATTTGGTAAAAATCAATTATAATCGATCACAATTTTTCTGTCTTGATATTTCCTTTCAATATTTATGCATGCATATATATCAGGTTGATAGTGATAGGCAAAAATTTCACAAATCAAAATCACAGAAAAAAGAAGATTTTTAAATTTCTGAAATATTGACATAAATGCAATTTGAAGGAGCTTGTGTATATCCAGGGAGAGAAAACACAGATAGAAGATATAGATACATAAAATATATGAATGCTAGTGCATGTGCGCTCAGACGGCCTTCGGCCGCCTTCGCTACCGATTAATTGACTGTTTTGAAATGCTGCAATCCTATTGGTCAGTTACATTTGCAGCCTGTAGCAAGGGAACGATTGATTTTTTTTCGAAAAAAAGTGGACGTCGACCTTTCCCAGGACTCAGAAAAGAATTATGGAAAGTTTGGTGACTATAGCTATAACAGGGACTGAGTGCATCGCGAACAAACACACAAACACACAAACAGACATTCTTCTTTATATATATAGATTAACTGAAAAAAAAAGAAAATATGTTTTAGACGTTGTCATGAAAGTACAGGATTTGTAAAAATGTTTTCTTCAGAAGAGTAATACTCTAAATTCAAATAATATCAATATATAGCGCATTGAAAATGGAAATCACCAATATTGAATAGTAAGGATTATGGCCACTTTTTAATGTCTAATCCAGGAAAACTCTAAAATTGTACGGCTATCTGAGAAGAGAAAAATGAATATCATATAGTACTGGATATCTGAACTAGAAATATTGAAACAATATTCAAAAATGAATCAGAAAAAATTAATTACAGATACTGATCTATTTGAAATTATCGTATGTTCGTAACCGTATCATCTTCATGCTATAGAAATATGCCAATGGTCGTCATACCGATCAGAGCTGTCAACAGGCTGAAAACCAAAGGGCAGTCTGTGACCTGGTCTGCAGATCAAACTCTGCATTAATTTATCATATCAGTTTTAATTATTTATTTCCATGAAGATGAAAGAGTAAGAAGTTCTTCTAGAAAATAGCAAATTAAAATAAAGAAACCACCATTATAAATATCTTTCACACTAAAGATTTGAATTAAACAATTTCTGATGATATTAGTACTGTTTCATATGATTGAAAAAAAAAACAATATACGATAATGCAAAAAATAAGGAGTCTAAAAAAAAAGATATAATAATCTAGGAAATCAAAGAGAGAAGTGATAACAGCAAGGAAGAAAATTTACATTCAACTATTCAATTTCACAACAAGGTGTAGGTGTCAGTGCGATATATTTCTTTCAACCATATAGACATTCAAATTGAAGAATATCATTAACTTGTGTAAAATTAGTATTATATGGCTTCCAGACTACCGTATTTGGTTTGATCTGGCAGGCACTAGATCAGGCTGATAGCTCTTATATTGATAATCGATTATATTTATCGAATCTTTTAAAAAACAGGTATCACTTTTTGATATTTATTAAACTTCAATCTGCAACGATGACATACATATATCATTTTGAAAAAAAAACGAATAGTTTGATCGATATTTCATTTAAAGTTCAAAAGATCGAAACTTCATATCCTATATAATTAGAATCACACAACTCGATTATTCTTCATGAATGCATTCATTTTGCTTTGATCGATATACGAGTCAAACGTTAAAATTTTATTTTGAAATATAATATACGTATCTTTCGACCATAGAATGTGAGTGTTGCTGGAAAGCACAATTCGTTGTATGAGTAACTTGTGATCAAAGGTTATATAATTTATTATCTTACTAAGCGTGTTATCTACTATAGATTGATTACCATCACTTACTTGACTATCATAAGAGTTTACGATGCAAACAAAAAACACATATATTATTCTGTGAGCTGGCTTATCAAGTTTATCTGTCAAGGCATTTAAAGCCAAGACTATATAAGGATGTGTTTTATATCGAGCATTTTATGCTTCAACCATGCACTGTACTACATATGCTCTACTTGTCTTCTTGACAGTCACGTTGATCAATTGTGTTCCATTTGCTACTGACAATGAAAACTTGGATCAACAAGCTATGCTTCACCGTGGTCTGCCTAGTTGTTCTGTATGGTATTGGTCTCAACCTAATCCTGAAATTCTTCTAGCCAAAACATTAAAACCGCCATGCAATATTTCACCTACATTTCCTTCAACTTTGCCTGGTGGTTGGTCAGTAGATCCAGGTTGTGATGCATCCCAACAACCAAATACTTGTGATTTGCATAAAGGGGCTTATGGTTGTTATCGAAGTGCCTTATCCACAACAGGACCAGGTGCTCAAGCATGTTATGATAAAAATGGTCAATGGATATCAGATCCTTGGAAAGGTGCTGGTACACTTGATGCAGAAACACCATTGGGTGACATAATTCAAGAAGCTAAACATGTGGTTGCTGATGTTCTTCCATATTACAGTTGCTGCAAAACATCAATTTTTTTTCAAACATATAATTGTAATCATTACTACGAAAAACGTCCACCAGGACAATGTCAAAATTAATTTGACTTCGAAAATATTTTTTTCAAAAAAATGATTTTATAATATCGTTTCAATATCAAATGAAAAACTATTAACATTCATGTATTATAAGATTTTTCTTGATTTGCTCATCGGATTCGTGCTTCATCAAAATCAATAAATAGATTTCAAAGAAAATGAAGCAAACTGTTCTTTCATAGTATCGATCATCTCAAACATTTAGATGATATCACTTTATTTGAGTAAAGTAATTAATTAAACAGTAATCTACATTCAATTGTGTCACCGAATCAATAGTCGCATGATATTGAATTTCTCTCGTCTTTAAAACGTAAACTTTCATCTTTGATACTTTTATAATTATTGCAAAATACGACAACCTCATATAATGATAAGAAGGACCGTGTGACAATCATAACGATTACTTATGATAATGAAAAGTAGTGCATGAAATTCTATTAAATCAATACAAAATACATGTGTATTCTACTTTTGAAATTGATACAGCATTAGATGCACTTTCGTATACACTAATAAATCAGAATATCTCTTGACATGAAAACGGCCTTGATTTATTTTCGACAACTTGAAAATGATAACGTTTTATTAAAGTTCTTCAAATGTTGATTCGGTTTAATAGGTTTAAACAATAAGATTTGTTTTCATCTTTGTATTCTTTACAGGAATGTTTTATGATTAACCTTTTGATAGTGGATTTATTTTTTTTATAATAAATGAAGTAAAAGTCTATTGCTAATAGGATGTATTTCAAAGATTATGGACCATTATATTTAAAAGTGCAATGGTGTTACCAATGACATAACAAATATTGAAAGGGCCTGTTCTACTATATTTCGTCTTCATCCTTTATTCAAACTTTGACAGCATAAATTGATGGCCTTTCTTATCAAAGGGTTAATCTCATGACAGAAGCATATTCAAAGAGGAATAAAAAAACATCGATGATGATTTTATTATTATGATAAGATATAAACCAAGAAAAAGAGTGACAGATTTATTCTGTAGTTTGATTTATTAGTAAGATGAGTGTATTCGATGGTTAAGTATAGCTGTTTCTTCTACTTCTTATTCCTTAAACCAATTCTTTTGTTTGTAATGTACAATTAACTATCAAACCTCACATGAAATAACGAATCATATTTTATTCGCATTTAGTGTCTCTTGAAAGCAGCTTTACTAATTAAAGACAGTTCCAGGGGTCGCAGCGGCCTATGTCTGAAAATCAGGAAAATAGGCAGGACACATTCTAGAAAAAAATCAGAAATTTCGATTAAAATCAGGACATTTTAAGTCTTATCATAGTGCTATTGTTCAGGATGACAGCTGCACAAAAGTATGTCGATCAATGATAGTTCATTGGAATTACTATATTATATTTCGCTGAATACGTGCTTCGAGTTCTGCTTTTTTCCTTTTCGTTCGCTATCTCTAATTATGCATTGTGTATACGTTTTCTTTTTCTCAGATACGTGGCCTACGGAAGGGGGCATCCTTCACTATTGGAGTCTTATTTGTTTCTAGTAGGAATCGCATTTTTATCAGGAAAATAGCCGTAAAAATAAATAAGAAAAATCCGCATTTTCGCAGTGTTTAAGGTTCTATAACCATCTTTTCGGCACTCAAACCATTTCCCTACATCACACTTCCTTCCCCTCTCTGCTACTTTTCCTCTTCTTCATATCCCTGCTCTTCGCACATATAAAACCACCATGTTATAGATAAACGAATAAAAGCGTTTACAAGAAAACTAGTAAATCGACTAAAATGTTAAAATAAGGGAATACAAGATTTAATGCAGCTACCCACGGTCGTGAACTGTATGATATAAATACCGCCGAAGTACTGGTGATAATTAGTAATGATAAAATAGCTTCTTTCAAAAACCAATTAATTCAAAATAATCGATTCTTAAAGTGATTATACAAGAAAAAAATGGACAGAATAAAAATTTGAGTACCATCTTTCTTTTTATAGAAAATATTCAACAAATATTTTCATAAAATTTTTAAGAAACGTTGAGTATAACAAAATAAAACATCAAAATGACGTATATGTGGTCATACAGAGATAAATCTTGAAAAATCAGGACAAAAGCAGGTTTTTCAGTCAAAAGCAGGAAAATCAGGACACCTTTAAAAAAATCAGGAAAAAATCAGGAAAGTACACACGCTGCGAGACCTGCAGTTCTATCTATAGGTCATATTTTCATTAGCTTATAGTTAATTAATGCAGTGCAAAGCACAGCATTTACGTAGTTCTTTGCATATTTTTAGCTGTAACAAAATCTGTACCTTGTGCTGAAATGTTCTGGAGAGCGGTAAGTTGATAGAAATTTGTTCGAACTACGCCAGGGAGATAGATGTCTTGAGGCTATCCAAACGAGTTTGAATCTTTAATATGAGTTTTCGTTCTCCTTCAGTAGATTCAACAAAACAACTGATTTTGAAGATTTAGTCTCCATCTGTTACGCTAGGTTATTAAAATTGATGAGCGAGTCTATTCTCACGGTAATTAAGATTCCATTATCGAAAATTGAGATCGCTTTTATGTAGTTTTGCGAGCATTTTTTTGCCTCTTTTTTACTTACTAGACGTTAGCATTGAACGTTATCATTTTCTATTGCGATGATCCCGAGAACGAAGAGTTCGACATACGCAGGGAGACGTTCTTATACTGTTTAAATCATATATTGAAGAAAGTAATAGATTTGTAGGGAACCTTTTTCTGTACGAAATTCTTATAACGATTTAGAATCAAAACTGAGTATATCTCTTCAACTCTATATCTTTGTTACAAGAGTCTATGTCTATCTCATTCATAGTGCATCATTCGAAATTTCATCGCCCATCTACATCAGACTACAATAAGCATTTTACTCTTGATATTCATAGTGTAACAAAGGTATTTAATTTAGATCACGTAATCAGTGTTGATTTCAAATATAAGAGTCTCTCACGGATATCAATGACATCTGTATGCATAGAAGACGAATAAAACAATTTTTTCACATGAAATTCCTATTCAAGTAGAACATCTGACGCAATACGCACTGCTTTGGCTAATGATATATCAAGTAATAAAATTAGGTATATATTACTGTTTGCAAAATGCGTAGTTGAATATTTTTGAAAGAATGAAAAGCGCTATGCTGTGATTGTATCATCAATAAAAACTAAATATATCAATGGATTGGTCCTAATAAAAAATTTAAAATCATTAAATATGACATGTACACAATTATAAACGTCAGACAAGATGATCCACAAAATATAGTTTGACTGTCAGTTAGAAATATTAATTTGATCCATTAGTCGTTTGTTTTATTCTCTAAATAGACAGGTTTGTGTACAAATGTAACTCATTATGCAAGCTCAATGGAACAAAACTAAATAATTCATAAAGTTGTTTTTAAACTCAACTAGATTTTATTCATATATTTTATTATCGGAAAGAACAAAAGAAAATAAAGACGATTATTAGACACATTGAATCCTTCAAATGCAGCTTTACTGTTGCTATGTCACTGTTTGTCAAAAGAATTTGATTTCTTCTTATCAGATGTGTAGAATTTGCCACTAAAATGAAAAATTTCCCTCACTTTAAAAATTCAATTCAAGATTCTTTTAGAAAATTGTAAAATTTTTTTCTAAAAAGGGAAGACAACGGATACTCCATAATAAATAGCTCAGTTTTATTTACTTTCTTTGAAGTATTTAACAATTATTTTAAATTTTGGTTTTTATGTTAGTTAATAGAGAACTTAGTTCTCAACAAAAAATGTCAACTTTGTTTTCCGAATAGATTTTTCGCGTTAAAGCAAAGTTACCAACACTAATAGCTACTCAATCGTATGAGTGTGAAAGTCAAAAAAACGAAAAAATGAAAGAGAGCTTTTAGAACCGGATCTGTTGAAATCTGAAATACTCTACAATATTCTATATAAAATTCTGCATCTTTTGATGTGAATTCGGACAAAGCTGAGTCATTCTTGTGGACTGATTCAAAGTAGCCTAACTGTTTCAGCTGTTCAAGCGAATGCATACACCATTTTTTCGGAGTTTAATTTTGCATCCCATATAAAGGTGTGCGTGGGAGTGTAGTTCTTATTTTCATTCACACCCTTCTTTATTAAAATGAGCTTTGATTTTTAACGTTCATTTTACAAACTAATCCATAAAGTAACTCAGCCTTATCTATTTGTTCTCTAATTGAACAAAGTTTTGAAAATATTCGTTTAATGTTCCATGCAAAATTTACTCAAGCTACCGACCATAAGAAAACAAAAAGAAAACAGTATTTGAGATATATAAACATTGAATACTTATACTTTAATACAAACATTTAAAAAAAAAGATTTTTTTACATCATATTATCATAATCTAATTTTTTTAAATAAAAATGTACTATTGTTTCATAGGACTATTCATGTTCAATTCCAATATCCGGTCTCATATGTTGCTTTGTTATAAATACAAGTTGAAAACAAATAACATAACGTAGTAGTTGTTCAAATATATAAATATTGCAAAATATATTAATACAATTTGTTGACGACGTACTGTTTTATACATTCCATTTTTACAAAATTTAGCTGTATATTAAATATCATTAAATACATCAAATTGATTATTTCGATCAGTAGGAAGCAGTGAGAGTCAGTATCTATTGCAGTTTTCTTTCTTGCTATCTACATTCATGAAGATTTTGTCTACATTGAACAAAAGAATAAGAAATCTAGAAACTATCTTTATAAATTTGTTATGCTTACCTCGTATTTTTCCCGACTAGATGATAATGTTGTAGATAATTTTCTAATGAAGATAATTCTCTTTATATTTCATATATCTTAAATAGATGAACACTAATATTTAAGTGTGAAAATATTTTCTACTTCATTTTGTGCATCAAGAAAAATTTCTTTCATTGTTTTTACCATTATTATATTATCTGTAATAAAATAGAAATTATTCTGAATAAGTTCCTTTTTACTATAGGCATACGTAAATATGTTACCTCTTTCCATTGATGTGTAATTATAATTAATAATTATTTTCCTCTTCAAAATTGGTTTTCTATACATCCTATCAAGTGTCAAAGCCAAAATTTTTTCTCTTATCAATACTTATCGATTCTGAAGAAGTCCTCTATATTGCGCGAACGAAAATTAAATCCAAATTTTTGAAAAATCTATGCATGCTCAGAAAAACTTTCGGTAGAGATTATTTATTCTCAAGAGTGTTCTACAGAAATATATTAGTTATTAGTTTTCGAAGATGTTACTGTCATTTGGACTTTTTTAAACTAAAATTTATGAAATGAAAGTAAATATTCTTCTACGAGTCATGTTGTTAACACTAGGTTCTTTATGATAATTTTGACGAAAAAAAGCCTTTAGGTATAATTTTTTCAAGGTATCTAGCATCACTGAACATATAACCATTAGCTCTAGGAAAGTTCATTATCTCGAAATATATGCTTTTTAATTTTGAAAATTCACGTTGCTCATGAATGGTTTGCTCAAATATTCTTAGATATGTCATCAAAATAATATTGATTATGTTCTCATAATAATATTCTATACAATTTAAAAAATTATTTAAAATATTTATTAATTTAGCATATTAAAGGTCTTCGGTATACTTGAAAATTCTATTTAAAATTTAATTTAATATAAATATTCTTTAATATATTTAAGACATAATTTATAATCAATGTTAACCTATCTAATAACAATCTTTTATTCAAGTATTGACATATGCTTAACCACATTATTAATAAACAATTCAGAAGAATAAAAGAATTAATTGAATAGATCATTTTGAATTAAGAAAAAAAATTCTATGACTCATTCATACAATTTTAATTCTAACGAATTTCTTAAATTCTTCTAACAATCTTCAGAATTCTCGCATGTCTTATCATTAAATGATATTGATATTGACGTCTAACACAATGATTAATAGCTATTGTTATATCAATAGCTGTTCAACTAATTCACTATTTGTTATTACTAGAGTTGAATTACCATGAGTAGTTGATAATAGTTCAGGGTGTGAATGTGGTTGTTGATGTACGGATGTGAGTGAGTGTGTTCTCTACCCTGAAAGCTATAGCCACACCCATACACCCACACCCTCTCTTCTTTTCTTCTTTTGTTTGGTGATATGTTAGTCTGTTGGCTAACAAAAACACTTCTTATCTTTATTTTCTATCTTCATGTTCACAACTACTACTCTTCATTAACAAAACAAAACAACAACTGACTATATAGTCACACATAACGTAACACATAAGTCGGTCTAGTGACCAATAGAGAGATAAAAGAAAGAAGAAGAGAGGTAGTGATGAGAGATAGTGCCACTACCTAACACCTCCACCCTTTAACAGTGAACGGTTTTATCTGTTCACGAAAATAGATATTAGACAAAGGAACAGAAAATAAAACGAATCCAAGATT